TGGAAAGACTCCGAGGCGTCAAAATTGCCCCCGACGAAATAATGGTGTCATTCGATGTCGTCTCTCTTTTCATTTCCAGCCCTAATGAATTAGTCACGAAGGTCATAAGTAACCTACTGAAGAGGAAATACGATGAAGAGGAAAGACCACCGGAAATAAAGCTCATAATAGAGCAGTTGGACTACTATTTTAGCACGTACTTCACGTTTAGTGGTCATGTGTATGAGCAACTTCAGGGAACCCCGATGGGATCACCAATCCCCGGCTACCTAGCTGAGACAGTTCTGCAAGAAATGAAAGCACGGGTATTTCAGTTCTACATGCTAAAATTCTGGATGTGCTACGTGGATGACACCTTTGTCATTCAAAGTTGAGACGCGAAGGAGACCTTCAAAAGGAAATTGAATCCAATTTTCCCCCAAATTCAACTCACAATGGAGGGAGAAAAGGACGAATAAATCCCCTTTCTGGATGTCTAGGCGTCGAGACAGGAAGACGGAGCCCTCCAGCACGGAGTATTTCGAAATGCGACTGATACGGCGGAAATCCTCCACTACACCAGTAACCACCCCTTGTCGCATAAACGCAGTTGCGTGCGGGCACTCCTCCTACACATCAACACGCACAGCGGCATGGAGGCTGAAAAGCTGAGAGAGCGTAAGTCCCAATGGCGTCTCTTTCTCTCCAATGGGTACTCACGTAGCTTCATAAACTAATGCCTGTATCAAAGGCTCACAAAGACCGACGGTGAATAAAAGCAAAACCTGAAATCTTCCCTGACTTACCCTACGTGAGTGACTTTTCCGAAGCCACTGAACGCATGCTCAGACCACTCAACGTGGGCCTTGGACACCGGCCGGAGGTCACTATCCGCCGCTTGTTCATGCAGCCCAAGGGGCTGCTACCACCTGCGGACACGCCAGGAGTTGTTTACCGCGTCAACTGTCTAGACTGTCCGGCCAAATATTGTGGCATGACCGACAAACGATTAAGGTCGCGCATGCATGAGCATTCTCTAGCTGTAAAGCGAAAAGATGTACGATCCCGCATTGTTATGCATAGCCTCGAAAATAACCATCAATTTGGCTTCGACAAGGCAGAAGTAACCGGCCGAGCTGAAAGCAAAATGGCGAGAGAGATAATCGAAGCCTGGCAATCAAACGTCAACTCGACCAATCGTAGGATCGACCTACCGGCGCAATACGAGGCTGTCAGCTACACTTAGGCAGGAGAGGAGGGCCAATGAGAAGAGGGGACAATGTGCCTATCAGTAGTGAGTAAGAAAGACCTATTTAATCCTTGTATTCTCACGTTTAGTCTGTCTCCGGTGATGCACTCAAGCATGAGCGTGAAAGCCAGATAATAAACCATCATCCCCAGAGATCTCTTTAACTGCGTCCATCTCAACACCTGGGTCAACATTTTCGCCTATATCCATATATATATATATATACGACCGTCGATGGAAGAGCATGGACCGGGTGATCGAATGAATAAGGCATAAGATCTGCAGTGCCAGAACCTGGAGCGTGGGTATACCTGAGTTATGGTGAGTACTGAACCAGAAATGGTCATCCCACAGTCACTTATCCTTTTTGGAATCATTTTCTGATAATTATTCCAAATCTGCCTAGCGGACCACTTCTTTCAAGAATGGATGTTTTGGTGTAGCAGCTACAAGACCTCAATTTGTTAGCAAAACTATTTTTTACGTCGGGTTTTCCCAACTTCGGTGGATTCTTAAGAAACTGGAGAGTTTATTTCATGAACTAAACTAAACTTTTAATAATATTTTTTGTTAATAAAGGCGACATTTCGAGTTCCAGGTGTATGCATAAGTGAAGAAGAAGAGTCAAGCGCCGGAACACTTCGTTTATTATCCTGAGCTTTCAGACTCGTACAGGATTCCATCGTCTGAAAGCTCAGGATAATAAACGAAGTGTTCCGGTGCTCGACTCTTCTACTTTACTTATCAATATTTTTCGTGCAAGCTTAAGCTGAAAGTAGACTTCCAAAAGAAATTCCAATGGAACCGCCTTGATTAGTAGCAGACTTCATGTTATCCGCTTCATCTGCGTCTCTAACTTCCTCAATTTTTAATCCTCTTTAAAATTCGCATTCAGAACTTCAAAAACTCATGAATCTAGAATGTGAGAGAATAAAATCCCTTCGGTAGAAGGATATAACTAGCTTCAGGCTTTAGAATTTATCGCGAACATCGATACTGTTGCGTTATGGTCGCTGTCAATTCGCAAACCATTTATAGCCACCCTGGTTAACGCTAATCGTGTTACGGAACTCACTTGTCCCGTTGTGCCTTAGGACTCTCACTACCATTGTATATTCCCGATTGTTACCGACAGGACAACGAGCCGGTGGCTCGGTGGTTAGAGGCGTTAGACTTCTAACCAACAGGTCGCGGGATCGAGTCCCGTGTATTCCACACCTCGGGGTTGGGTACAACTGGTCGACATCGGCTAGTAAGTCAGAAATGACCATTCCATTCTCCTTTTTTTCGATAATACTACTCTGCATATGTATATATATGTATTGAAAGACAGGCATCCCAAGAAATATAATTGTAAAGGTGCATTCTCTGTCGTCCCTCCTCGCTGCTATTATGACTTGGCCGACTTCGGCCTGGTAATTGGTTGCCTGTTCGTGACCTTTGCCACACATACGGAGCTTGTTTGCTTTGTGAAGCCAATAGATCGGTGTGCGCCCATTCCTGATTCATAAATACCCGATCTGCAGCGACAGATAATGACAGGTGGCGAGACACTGATGAACTTCGGTTCGATGAAGTGCTTATGACCCATCTGGTAGGCCTCAGTGGTGGACCGACTGCGCCAGGTGCGTCTGTGCGCATGTTTGGGTTTCTGGTCGGAGCTGCTGGTGGTCAGGGTTATGATTGGCTGAATGAAGGCAGAATAAGCCCGAAACAGTGCTGTATCAATCTACCCGCATTCTCTGTCGTCCCTCCTCGCTGCTATTATGACTTGGCCGACTTCGGCCTGGTAATTGGTTGCCTGTTCGTGACCTTTGCCACACATACGGAGCTTGTTTGCTTCGTGAAGCCAATAGATCGGTGTGCGCCCATTCCTGATTCATAAATACCCGATCTGCAGGGACAGAGAATGACAGGTGGCGAGACACTGATGAACTTCGGTTCGATGAAGTGCTTATGACCCATCTGGTAGGCCTCAGTGGTGGACCGACTGCGCCAGGTGCGTCTGTGCGCAAGTTTGGGTTTCTGGTCGGAGCTGCTGGTGGTCAGGGTTATGATTGGCTGAATGAAGGCAGAATAAGCCCGAAACAGTGCTGTATCAATCTACCCGCATTCTCTGTCGTCCCTCGTCGCTGCTATTATGACTTGGCCGAATTC